TCCTGCATTGCTGCCTTTGGAGGATACACAAACCAAGGAATGCAGCCAGCCTGCAGGCAAGGGAAAATCACAAAGGGTTTCTCCTCTAGTGTCTCCACAGGGAGCACAGATCTAATGACACTGATTTTAGCACAGTGGAACTGATTTCACATCTCTGGCCTCCAGAACAGCAAGAGAAAAAAAATCTGTGTTGTTTCACACCACTCAGTTTATAATACTTTGTTTTAGTAGCAATACAAAATATACTGAGGTACAGAGCTATTAGGAACCTGTCTGAAATCACAGTTACCAAATGCCAAAGCAGTTATCAACAGCTCAGGCAATATTACTCCTGAGGTTGCCTCTCAATATTAGAAATAAAATGGTGTAAGGGCCGGGGATTTAGTTCAGTGGTGCTGCCGCCTGCCTTTGCAAGCTTAAGGTCCTGAGTTCGATCCCCGGTACCAAAAAAAAAAAAAGAAATAAAACAGTGTAGTTTCAGTCACTTGATAGGCTGAGGCAGGGGAATCACAAGTTCAAGGAAGGCAGAGATCTGCCTAAAGCAGAGCGGTGATGGGATATAGAATCTTAATTTTTATTTTAGGTTCTGATAAGATATTTAAGTAAATATAATCCAGAAGCAGATAGAAGAGGGATGAGTGTAGAAATAAACATGTGCAGCCCAGCGTGGTGATGCACGCCTGTAATCTCAGCACTTGGGACGATGAGGCAAGAGGATCGCCATGAGTTCAAGGCCAGCCTGGGCTATGCAGTAAGTTCAAGTCCAGCCTGAACTACACAGTGAGACCCTGTCTCAAAAAAGAAAAAGAAAGAAAGAAATGTGTGCTGTTAGTTAAGTGGAGTTTTTCCAGAAGGAAAATGGCAAATATACCAAATACTGAAAAATCTAATAAGATGAAGATAGATGGAAGTTGTTACTGATGTTTAAAAGATGGTTTGGAGGGCCAGGGATATAGCTCAGTGGCGCCATGCTTGCCTGGCAAGCACAAGGTCCTGAGTTTGATTCCCAGTACCAGGGGGGAAAAAAAGAGATGGTTTTGGTGAAGTAAAGATGAAAGGTTAAATGGAATGGGCTGAAAAGCAGTTGAAGACTTTTGTCAGGAAGGAGTAGAGAAGGCATGAGCTGCAAAGAGGGGTAGGTGACAGAAAAGCCCTTTGATGGGGCTGAAAATATAGCTCAGTGGTAGCAGACTGCGTGCTTAGCGTACATGAGACCCTAGGTTAAAGCCCCAAAACAAAATAAACCAAAAACCAAAAACCAAAAAACAAAACCTCTTTGTTTTCTTTTTACTTTTTAACCACTACAAGTATATTTCCAGAAAATGTCATTTAAGAAAATCAAGATTCACAGGGGTTTGTTTTGTTTTTAGAGGGTTTTAGATATTTCTAACGTTTTTTAATTTAAACAATTTTGGGGGGGCTGGGGATTTAGCTGTGGTTCTGCCACCTGCCTTGCAAGCAAGCACAAGGTCTTGAGTTCCACCCCTGGTATCAAAAAAATAAAGTGATTAAAAATTGCTTTTTAAATTTTTGAATGCCAAGCATGCAGGCATACACCTGTAGTCCCTGTACTTGGGAGGCAGAGGCAGGAGGATCGCCTGAGTTCAAGGCCTGCCTGGGCTATAGTCAGTTCAAGGCCAGCCTGAACTACACAGTGAGACTCTGTCTCAAAAATAAATAAATAAATAAATAAATAGAGATTTTTAAATGAGATAAAGTCTAAGTCACTAAGTTAGTTCCCCAGGCTGGGCTTGAACTTGTGATCCCTCCTGCCTCAGTCTCCCAGAGTGCTGGGATTACAGACACACACCACCATACTTTACTGCTCCTAAATTTTATTTTATTTTACTATTTTTTGGTACCTGGGATTGAACTCAGGACCTTGCACTTGCCAGGAAGGTGCGGTGCCCTGCCCAGCCCTGCTCCTAAATTTTTTCACAGAGTTGAGGCCAGCCTAGACTACACAGTGAGACCCTGACTCAAAAAGAACAATTAATCAATCAATCAATCAATCTCTCCCCCTCTGGAGAGAGGGAGAAGGAGAGGGAGCGGCAGAGGAGAGGAAGAGAAAGGGAGAGTAATAGGGAGTGTGCGTGTGAGAGAGGAAATGCTTCAGACAAGCACTAACTTAATGTCATTTAAAATTTCAGAGCAACTGTGAGAATCTGAAGCATTTAGTCCAATCCTCACATTTTATAGATACAGAAACTGACAAGTAGAAAGGAGAAAGAATTTGCAGATTCAAAGGACTTATTGATAGCTGTTAAAACAAAAACAAAAACAAAAACAAAAAAACCCCAACTCACCAAACCTGCAGTGTACTACTTTTTTTTTTTCTGGTACCAGGGATCAAACTCAGGACATTCAGCTTTCAAGACAGGCTCGGCGCCACTGAGCTAAATCCCTGGCCCAAAAGCCCCTTTTTCTCATGACACTGGTTTTTGGAGCCAAACTTGGGAAGTTGTCTCATAAAATGTCCAACATTCTCTCTATCTTATCAGTCTCCCAGTTTCCAGGCTTTCCATTTCATAAAGGAGCCCCAGCCCCTAGAGTTCTCCTATTCCACCTGGAGCCCTCTTAGAGGCCAAGTTAATTGGTTTATGGAGCCTCCTACCTTGTCTGTACAGAAGAAAAGCACTGCCCTTCCCACCCTGGACAGCTGCTATTAGTTGAAACAGACACAAGAACTTTTTTTTTTTTGAGACAAGGTCTTGTTCTGTAGCCCAGGCTGGCCCTAAACTCATGATGACTCGTACCCCACCCTCCGAAATAACTAGGATTACAGGCATGCAGTACCTTGCTCAGGGAGCACCACTGTTTTTGTCTCAATTTATTTAATGGACCGGGGATTTAGCTCAGTGGTTCCACCACCTGCCTCAAAAGTGCAAGGTCCCGGAGTTCCATCCCCGATACCAAAAAAAAAGTGCTTAGTAAGTCCAATATTTATGAACTCAATAGTGGACCAGAATCTTTAATTGCACTTCTGCTCACTGTGCCTTTTTTCCACACAGAATCATCCTTTTATTTTATTTTTGGTACCGGGGATTAAACTCGGGTCCTTGTGCTTGTGAGGCAGGCGACAGAACCACTGAGCTAAATCCCCAGCTCCAGAATCATCCTTTTAAAGAACAAATCAGATCTTATTACTCCCACAGTCAAAAACACTCCAATAGGTTTCCTAGCAGTTAGAATAAAAGCTATTCCTTAACTCATTTGGCCCAGCCACCCTATTTCTCTAATCATCCAAGCACCTCAGGCTTCAGGCATTTTGCAGTTGCTGCTCCCTCACTAGGATGGCTGGATGGCTTTTCCCGGTACAAGTCTGAGGCTCAACATCACCTCCTCAGAGGCTTTCCCTAGCCATGCAATGAAATCAGCTCTCCACCTTCATAATCTTTTATTGATTTTTTTTTTTTTTTGGTACCGGGGATCGAACTCGGATCCTTGAGGTTGCAGAGCAGGTGGCGGAACCACTGAGCTAAATCCCTGGCACCTTTTATTGATTATTGATTGATTCCTAGTTTTACTTTTCTCCCTAGCAACTGCATTACCTATTTCTTCATGTTTATTGTCTCCCCACACAAGAATGTATGCTTTGTGTGGGGAAGGAGGTTGTCCAGTCCTCAGACTCATGCTCAAGAGGCCTGCAAACAGTGTTCAAGAAATATATTATGGGGGGGATATATATATATATATATTATTGGGCTGGGGATGGCAAGTGCAAGGTCCTGAGTTCAATCACCAGCACCAAAAAAAAAAAGAAAAAGAAAAAGAAAAGAAAAAAAACCCATATGATTGAGCCAGGTATAGGGGCACACGCCTATAATCCCAGATACTCAAGGGCCAGGGATTTAGCTCAATGCTCAATAGTGCTGCACCTGCCTCAAAAGTGAAAAGGTCCTGAATTCCCTGTGGGGTGTGTGTGTGTGTGTGTCTAATCCCAGATACTCAGGAGGATGAAGCAGGAGGATTGCAATTTCCAGTCCAGCCTGGGCAACTGAACAGTTTGGCCACATCTTGTCTAAAAAAAAATTTTTCTAAAAAAGTATAAATAAGGGGAGGGAGCTTGGGGGAGGATGGGATAAAATAAAATAATATTTTTTAAAAGCATAAATAGGGCCGGGGATTTAGCTCAGTGGTTTCGTCGCCTGCTGCACAAGCGCAAGGACCCGAGTTTGATCCCCAGTACCAAAAAAAACCACCAAAACCCATAAATAAATAGGGCTGGGGTTATTGGTCAGTGTTTGGCAGAATACTTACCTAGCGGGAGGGAACCCTCAGTACCGCAAAAACTAACGGAATCACTTTTTTTTTTTGGTACTGGGGATTGAACTCAAGACTTTGTGCTTCCGAGGCAGGCCCAGCACCATTAAACGCATTTTTGAGATCTCATCCCCCAGGTTAACGGTCCTCAACATCCAACGGGCGTCTCCCGTTGAATCTGGACACCCCTCAAATATAGGCACCAGTATCCTCTTTTGCTACCTGCAGCCCCCTCAGTCTCTCTCAGCCTTTGCAAGCTCCCGTGTGAGAGAACTCGCTTCAAAATGCCTCAAAATCCGCATTCTCTCACCCTGACCCGCCCCCCAGGAGCCACAGGAACGCTGAAACTACGTTATTTAGGATGGACGAACCCCCCCACCCAGGAATGAATGAATGAACCACAGCTCCAAGACCCAGACCGCGCGCCCTTGGCCCCACTTGGGCCCCTCCCTCATCGCTTCCGCAGCCCGAGCCCCGGGTTCGAATCCTCCCGCGCTCTCAGGAGCCTCACTCCCTTGTTCAGAGGCCTCAGACCCCTCCCAACCCGCCCGCGGCGTCCCACCTCCCACATCCTCCAGAAACATCCGCAGTCAGCCCTCCAGCCCTCTCAGAAGAGCCAGGCACAGAAATCCAGCCTCGGCTCTTCAAATTAGACCTCTCGCCCCCTGAGGGCCCAGGACGCCTCCGATCATCGCTCCCTCAAGACCCCAGGTACCTCACGCCGCCCCAGCCCTGACCGTTTCTGAGCGTCCAATCCCCACAGACGAATCTGCCGATCATACTGCGCCGCCTCTTCCTCGCTGATGCCGCCACCGACCTCCTCCTTCTCCACCATGGCGCGGGCTCTAGCGGCCGCCGCTCTCAAGTCCCGCTCAAACCAACAGCCTGCCGGCTCCCGAGCCGCCAACCTCTGTTGGCCGCGAGCCTGGGCCACGTCTGCGCCTGCGCGGAAGGTGGGGCCGCGCCTGCGCAGGACCTTCTCCTTGGAATTCGCGATCACGTGGTCCTACTGAGCCGCCAAGGTCGCAACTATTCCCAGTCACGTGAGGAAGGAGCCAATCAACCTTAGCAAAAGAAAAAAAAGTGATTTATGGGCCATATTCCTGTGATCTTTTGTGACACTATTCAATTCTGCAAATGTTTATGGAGCTCCTGCTGAGATTCCAGCTGTGGGGGTGTGGGGAAATAAAGTGGTAAAAACAATAGGCAATGGCCTACCCTCAAGTGGCTTATCTTCCATTGAGGGAAAGAATGAAAAAACAATGCTGCCGGGAATTTAGCTCAGTGGCACCGCACCTGCCTCACAATCGCCAGGTCCTGAGTTCGAGCCCCGGTAGGAACAAAAAAAAAATGCCGGGCGTGGTGCCACATGTCTGTAATCCCACACTCTGGAAGGCTGAGGTAGGATCACCTAGAGTTCAAGGCCAGCCTGCACTACAAAACAGAGACCCTGTCTCAAAAAGGCAAAAAGCCAATAAATACAGTTTTCCCTCGATATGGGTGGAAAATTGGATCCCCAGCCTCTCAAATTTGCAGATTTTCAAGTACTTTATATAAAACGATGGCTGGTTCCTTCCCCATCCCTCCTAAGCATGTATCATAACTGTACACAGAAGACCACAAAATTTTATGTAGGTTTTGCATGAAATAGCAGAAGGAGATGGGGAACCATTAAAATTTAGGACTTTGGGCCGGGGGTTTAGCTCAGTGGTTCCGGTGCCTGCCTCGCAAGCGCAAGGTCCTGAGTTAGATCCCCGGTACCAAAAAAAAAAAAAAAAAAACTTTAGGATTTTGCCAGGTGTGGTGGCACATGCCTATAATTCCAGTACTCCTGAGGCTGAGGCAGGAGGATCACTACAAGTTCAAGGCCAGCTGCACAGTGCGACCCTGTCTCGAATAAATAAATTCAGGACTCCTCTGCTTTGTAAATTCAAAAGTGGGCAATGAGGAAGTGAGATAGTTAAAATGTTTACAAAACTTTTACTAGTGTGGAGGGAAAAAAAAAATGGCCAGGCATAGCCTATAAGAAAGCACACCTATAAGAAGTGAGGAAGATTGCAAGTTTCAGCCATCCTGGGCAACTCAGTGCCTTAGTGAGACCCTGCCTCAAAATAAAAAATAAAATGAAATAAAAGCTGGGGATGTGACTCAGTGTGAAGGCCTGGATTCAATCATCGGTACCAAAAGGAAAATAAAAACCCAGGTGGAATAGCACACATATGAAATCCCAGCACTCACTACACAGTAAGACCCTGACTCAAAATTAATCAAAGTAGGTCAGACATGGTGGCACACACCTGTGATCCGGGCCTCTGGAGGCTGAGGTAAAAAGATTGCCTCCAAGTTCATCAGGGCCAGCCCAAACTACATGTTTTTTCTAAAAAAAAAAAAAGAACCAAGGACTAAGGAAATAAGAGTCTGGTTCTTGGCTGGGTTCCTGGTTGCATCAGGTCATGGCCTCCCAGTGACACTGTGGGGCTTCTATCTAGGTTCTTGGTATCTGAACAAACAACTGGACAAGGCACACCGAAGGCAGAAAAATTATGGAAGGCAGGAAAGTTTACGTTCTACAGCATGAACATGGGCTGGGGAAAAGGCTCACAATAGCAGCCCTGAGGATGAGGGGAAAGACCTTTAGTATTCAAAATGCCTGAATTGACCTTCTCCACATGCAAATAATGCATTGGAACAGATGTCCTATCAAAAACTCACTTGGGGGGCTGGGGATTTAGCTCAGTGGTTCCTGCGCCTGCCTCACAAGCGCAAGGTCCCAAGTTCGATCCCCGGTACCAAAAAAAACCTAAAAAAACTCACTTGGGGAGGGCCAGGGATTTAGCTCAGTGGTTTCACCGCCTGCTGCGCAATTGCAAGGACCCCAGATCGATCCCCGGTACCAAAAAAACACTCACTTGGGGACAGGGTTGTAGCTCAGTGGCACTACGCCTGCCTGGCAAGTGCTAGGTCTTGAGTTCAATTTTTCATACCAAAAAAATTCATTTGGATTCCCTCTAGATGTAAATGAAGGATCCATAATAGTGTCTTTTGATTGGTTGCACCCACATGCAAATAAAGGATTGAAAAGAGCCTCTTCTGATTGGTCCTGCAAAAAGTACCACATTCAAATGAAGGGTTGAAAATAGTATTTTTCTGATTGGTCCTATGAACAGCACTAGATTCAAATGAAGGACTGAGAATATCACTGATAGGTTCAGTGGCCAGAGCTCAGGAGCTGTGGTGTCATTTTAGGTTGGTGTTCTGAGCATGTCTTCTTTTTTCAGAAAACAATTTGCTCAACCTGTTAGCCATGGGTTTTATGACTTTTGACACATCCCGCCCAGTTTGTGGTCCAGTTTGCCCCAACCTCACTTAATGTATCCATCCCTATACTGTACTGTTGCCCTTTATGCTGTGCCATAAATCCTAATAAAGCCACTTTCAAATGGTATGTGTTGCCCATTTGTGATGTGTGTGTATGCGCACGTGTGTGTATGGTGCCAGGCATTGAACCTAGGGCCACTACACTGAGCTACATCTCCAATTCTTTTTATATTTTACTTTTTTTTTTTTTTTGGTACCGGGGATCGAATTTGGGTCCTTGCACTTTCAAGGCAGGCTGTGGAACCACTGAGCTAAATCCCAGCCCTTATATTTTATTTTGAAACAAGGTCTGACTATAGGTGAAGCTTCTTGCACAGGCTGAGCTTGAATGCTCCATCCTCCTGTCTTAGCCTCCCAAAGTGCTGGGATTAGAAGCATGCACCACCATGCCTGGTTTCCCTCATGATTTTTGTCTCAAGTAGAACAGTTTGAGCGGGGCGCATTAAGAGCTGGTAGCACTAAAGACCACTGGCAGTGAAAGTAGCCCCAGCTGGGGCCGGGGATTTAACTCAGGGGTGCTGCACCTGCCTTGCACGCCAGGTCATGCACAAGGTCCTGAGTTTGATCCCTGGTACAAAAAAAAAAAAACCAAGCCGCTCCAGCTGGGCCAGGTAATACTGAAGGCAATTAGCAGCCAAAGAACAATGGAGAACAAAGCAGAATTGCAGGGAGCCACCATCTTTGGTCACAAGGAGAGCTCCTGAGGGGGCTGCTGGGAGTTGGTGGCCCCAGCATCCCGGACAGTGGTGGAGGGCCACTGACACTAAGAGCTGACAGTTGCTGGTTTCCTAAACTCAAGGAAGTTAATGCTGGGAAGAGCTTCACTTTGCCTATTCCTGTTTCTATCTGAATTGAGCAAAAAACCCCTCATTGGGTGATGACATTTGGTTGAATTGAAGATGCAGAACCCACAGCTATATGGAGGGCCAATTATATAAATCAGTTGATAAATGTTTTGGAGAAAAATGAAGCAGGATATGGAGCTACAATCCAGGCATGAGGGTGCATGCCTGCAATCTCAGTACTCTTGAGAGGTGAAGACAGAAGGATCACAAGTTTGAGCCCAACCTGGGCAGAACTTAGTGATTTAGCAAGACCCTGTCTCAAAATAAAAAATAAAAAGGCTGGTGATGCAGTTCAGTGTGAAGACCCTGGGTTCAATCCCCAGTACTGAAAAGAAAGAACAAAAGAAAGATTTCTCAATGAAGGTGATGCTGATCTGAAGGCACTAAGGGAATAAGGCATGAGGATAACTGAAAGATGGAGCATTTCCAGGCAGGAGAACAGCATGTGGAAAGGGCCTGACCCTGGAGTGTGCCAGCAGAGTTGAACAACTGTGGTGAATACATGGTAGCCGGGACCAAGTGCAAGAGTGGTCAGAGATGAGAACACAGGGTATGGGGGCCTGTGCTTATTTAGCAGGCATGAGGCCCTGGGGCCAATCTCCAGCTCGATTAAGGGAAACAGAGAGAAGTGCTCACAGATGAAGTAGCTGGGGAACTGTGCAGTGCCCTGCAGGGTAATGATAGCCAGTATGTATTCTCCTTAGGCAGGATACCTTGTCATTAATCCAACAGACACTTACTGAGCACCTGTTATGGGTCAGCCACAGATCTCTCTTCTATGTATAAAGCAGTGAACAAGAAAGTAAAATATTCCAGCACTTGGGAGGCTGAGGCAGGAAGATTGCCGTAAGTCTGGCCAGCCTGGGATATATAATACAACCCTATCTCAACCATTCTTCCAAAAAAGAGAGAAAGAGGGCCAGGGGATTTAGTTCAGTGGTTCTGCCACCTGCCTTGCAAGCACAAGGACCCGAGTTTAATCCTCGGTACCAAAAAAAAAAAAAGAGAGAGAGAGAAACAGGCAGCAATTCATTCAAGATCACTATATCGGGCCAGGGATTCAGCTCATTGGTTCCGGCGCCTGCCTCGAAAGTCCAAGGTCCCGAGTTCGATCCCTGGTACCAAAAAAAAAAAAAAAAAGATCACTATATCAATGAAAGCAAAATGGGGGCCTGGGATTTGGCTCAGTGGTTCTGCCGCCTGCCTCGAAAGCGGAAGGATCTGAGTTCAATGCCCAGTACCAAAAAAAAAAAAAAAAAAAAAAGAAGTCGCCTTGTTTAAAACAAAAACCAAAAACCAAAAATGGCCAGCAGGGATTTTAGTTCAGTGGTAGAGCAGTTACCTAGCATGAAAAAGGCCCTAGGGGGGATTCTATCAGCAGTATTAAAAAGAAAGGTGTAGGGAGCAGAAGACAAGGAGGAGGAGAAGAATGAAAAGGAAGAATCACTGAGTCTACCTTTTGGTTTACATGGTTTACCTTTTGGGAAAGAGAAGGCTTTGCAGTGATCCTCCTGCCTCAGTCTCCCCAATGCTGGGATCACAGATATACTCTACCATGCCAGGCCTTGAACTCATAGGGTGCTCTTGAACTCATAATCCTCCTGCCTCACCCTTCTAAGTCCCGGGATTCTAGTCATATGCCTAGGAGGCTTCTTTAGCAATTCAGGAGTCAGGTAGCTCATCTAAAAATAGAAAAGTGTAGCCAGGGGTTTAGCTCAGTGGTTCCGCCGCCTGCCCTGCAAGCATAAGGGCCTAAGTTCGATCCCTGGTACAAAAAAAGAAAGAAAGGGGCTGGGGATTTAGCTCAGTGGTTCCACCGCTTGCCTTGTAAGCACAAGGACCCGAGTTCCATCCCCGGTCCCCCCCCACCCCCCAAAAAAGAAAGAAAGAAAAGTGTTAATATAAGGTAGCTCGAATAAGAACAAGGAAACAGCATAATACAAAAAAAAAGTTTGATTATCATCAGGTTATTTCAGATTACCTTCCTGCTAAGTGTTAAAGTGGGATATCTTAATCATTCCAGCTAACACTGGCTTGTTTGGGAATTGAGTTATATTTCTCTCTCCTGATTTCTTGGAAAGTCAAAACAGTTTCCATTTGGTGAAGCGAAACTTTCGCATGAGTGACTCCATTTTAATTTGGTCTGGTAGGGCTTAGTCAGGAGCTCAGTTCAAACCAATCACTTCCTATACATTTTATTTAATACCATTAAACAACACCTCTTCATGTTTCCCCCTGCTTTCTCCTTGGCCCCTGACAATCAGTTCTTTCTGAGTTTGAACATTCTACATACTTCACATAAGTGAAATCATGTGATATTTGTATTTTGTGTCGGGGATGGTGGCTCAGAACTAGTATCCCAGCACTCAAAAGGCTGAGGCAGGAGGAGCGCCATAGGTTTGAGGGCAGCCTGGGCTACATAGTGAGTTCAAGGTCAGCCTGAACTACATAGCAAGACCTTGTCTCAAAAAACAAACAAACAGGACAGGAGATGTAGCTCAGTGGTTCCACTGCCTGCCTTGCAAGTTCAGGTACCCGAGTTCATCCCCAGTAACAAAACAAGCAAAAACAACTTGCATTTAGTTTTTGGTGGTGCTAGAGATTGACCCCAGGACTCTGTGTATGTTAAGCACATGCTTTGCTACTAAGCTGCATATCAAGTGCCTAGTATTTGCCTCTGTCTGGTTTCTCTCAATTAACATAATGTCCTCAAGCTTCATCCCCCTCATAGGATGTGTCAGAATTTCCTTCCTTTTACTTATTTACTTTGTGCTTAGGAATCAAACTCAAGGCCTCTCATATACTAAACACGTGCTCTACTGCTGAGCCCCATCCCTGACCTTTCTTTCCCATGTGTGTTTGTGTTACAGCGCATTGAATCCAGGGTTTTCACACTGAGCTACATCTCCAACTTATTTTTTTTGGTACCAGGGACCAAACTCTGGTCCTTGTGCTTGCGAGGCAGTCAGTGTAACCACTGAGCTAAATCCCAGGCCTACATCTCTAGCTTTTTAAAAAAGCTTTTATATTTGTTGTTATTGATGTTGTTTTTTGAGACAGGGTCTCACTACGTAGTCCTGGTTGGCCTTGAACTTGCAGCAATCCTCCTGCCTCAGCCTTGCCCATACTGGAATTAACAGGCATGCACATATATATATATATTTTTTTGGTACTGGGGATCAAATTCAGGTCCTTGCTCTTGCGCAGCAGGCGGCAAAACCACTGAGCTAAATCCCAGGCCCTGGCCTTTTTATATTTTGAGTCAGGGTCTCACTAAGTTGCTAAATTGCTCAGTTTGGGCTCAAACTTGCAATCCTCCTGTCTCAGCCTCCCAGACTGCTTTGAAACAGGGATATGGCACTTCACCATGCTTCAGCCATTCCTTATAAAAGGCTAAATAATATTCTATTATGAGTACATAATATTTAATTTGTTTGTACATCCATTGATGGATTTTTTTTTTTTTACACCTTTTTTGTTTTTTGAGACAGGATCTTGCTATGTTGTTCAGGCTGGTCTTGAACTCACTGTGTAGCCCAGGCTGGCCTCAAATATGCAACAATAGTCCTACCTCAGCCTTCTGAGGGCTGGGATTACAGTGCCACCACACCCAGCTATTTTCATTGTTGTGAAGTTACTATGAATATATGTGTACAAATATGCCTTTGAAACTTTTTCATTTCTTTTGGATATATACCCATGGAACATCTTTGTGGTTTTTAGCAACTGCTAATAAGAACAGCTACCAAATTAAGGCTTTGTAACTTAAAAGAGGTAGAGAACAATTACACAATACTTTGGGCCCCTGGGTTTGAAGATCATGTAATTACTTCCACTCAGGCAACTGCTCCCCCTTAGCTGAGGTGGAGACTCCACTCCCACCTGCACATCTCTTGGGAATGTTCCAGCCCTCCTAGTGCCCGGACTCCTCCTTTGGGGACTCTCATTAATTGGCGTGGGGTGGAGCTGAGACTTGAGTTTTACAAAATGCTCCTCAGATGATTCTAAATGCACTCAGGGTGGAGAACCACAGAACAAAGTCTCTTGTGTCCTCGTTCACTGTAGTCTTGATGTTTTTCTTGTTAGGGCCTCTGTACTCCTTGAAATGCACCCAATTTGGTACTCAAGTGTTCTGATGTGAACATTTTGTCCCAGTACTCCTTTGTTTGATATTTGACGTGCAGGCTGGGAGCGCTCAGTGTTGGCTGCCTTGTGGCTCTTGACCCTTCCAGCTAAAACAATTTGTTCAGCGTTTCTTGTTTTTGGAATTCATTGCACCTCCTGTAATGATGAGAACCAAAGTACCACTGTTAAACTTAGGGCTTTTTTTTTTGGTACCAGAGATCGAACTCGGGACCTTGCACTTTCCAGGCAGGCAGCGGAAGCACTCAGCTAAATCCCCAGCTTTAGGGCTTTTTTTTGAAGCAGAGTCTCATTGTGTAGTTCAGGCAGGCCTCAAACTCAAAGTGATCTTCCTGCCTCAGCCTTCCAAGTGCTGGGATTACAGATGTGTGCCGCTACACCTGGGCCACTTTAAGGCTATTTAATTGCTGTTACAAGTTGGGCATGCTGGCACTTGCCTGGCATCCCAGGATTCTGGGAGGCTGAGGCAGCAAGACCACAAGTTCCAGCCCAGGCAACATGAGAGACCCTGTCTCAAAATTTAAAAAATGAAGAAAAGGGCTGGGTAGGTACTCAGCCCTTGCTGGGTTCAATCCCACGTACTTCCTGCCTTATCCAAAAAGATGAAAGGGGTGGCTGTGTAGCTCCGTGGTAGACCACCTGCCCAGCCTACACAGTTCACCGGGTTCCATGCCCAGCACTGTAACAATATAAATTGAAAAAAGAGAAGCTGGATGTGGTGGTGCAGACCTGTAATCCCAGCACTCTGACAGGCTGAGGCAGGAGGATTGCAAGTTGGAGCCCAAACTGAGTAATGTATCAATTTAACGAGACCCTGTCTCAAAAAATAAAAAAGGGCTGGGGATGTAGCTCAGTGCAGACCCTGGGTTCAATCCCTGAAAAGAAAAAGAGAAAAGGAGAAGAGACAGAGACAGAGATAGAGAGACAGAGAGAGGTTATTCCTGCATGAGTATAATGATTCTAGCTTTATTGCCCAATCCTTTTTTTTTTTTTGCAGTACAGTACTAGGGATTGACCTTTTTCTCTTTTCTTTTTTTTCTGGTACGGGGGATCGAACTCAGGACCTTGCATTTGTGAGGCAGGCACGGTGCCACTGAGCTAAATCCCCAGCCCTGGGAATTGAATGACTTCATCAGCTTCTCTCTCTCTCTCTAACTCAAGCTGGCCTTGAACTATGTAGCCCAGGCTGGCCTCACACTCTGAGATCCTCCTGCCTCAGCCTCCTGAGTGCTGGGATTATAGACATGCGCCACCATGCCCGTCTTTATTTTTTATTTTGAAATAGGGGATTACTAAATTGCCCAGGCTGTGCCTCAATTTTCCACCCTCCTGCCTCAGCTTCCCAGAGTGGTGAGATTATAGGCCTACACCACCACATCAGGCTCAAATCTTCACCTGTTTTTTTTTTTTTTTTTGAGGTCTATGTTCACATTATATTCTCAGAAGTGGAATTTTTGTTTTGTATTAAATTCTTTTATTGGTACATTGTAGGTATACAACACAATTACATTTCTCATTGGGAATTGTACCTTTACATGATGCATCTTGGTTCTTATTTTTTCCCCATTCCTAGCCCTCCCTTCACGCCCTCCACCCTTCCCTATTTACAAAGATTTTATTTCCATTTTTTCCATTTCTCATCATTTTTTCCTTTCCCTTCTTTCCTTTCCCCTGCCCCTCCCACTACCCCTACCCCTTTGGACCTTTTCTTCCTATTTTACATTATTGATTATTCATTCTAATAATTGGTACATTTTAGGTATACAACATAATGACATTCATCATTGGAAATTTGCACCTTTACATAGTCTCTCTTGGTTCTTATTTTTCACCCTTGCCCAGCCCTCCCTTCAACCCCTCCAGTCCTCCCTATTTACAAAGATTTTGTTCCTATTTTTCCATTTTCTCATATTAATCCCATTCCCTTCTATCCTTTCCCCTAGCCCTCCCACTTCCTTCCCCTTTGCCCCTTTTCTTCCTATTTCACATTACCTATTATACATTTAGTCCTTATTTACACTTTCAGTTTCTCACACCAGAGAAACTATTCAGTATTTACACATGTGTGTCCTATTTATTTCACTTAAGAGTATTCCCTCAATGTGCATCCACTTAGCTATAAATGTCTCTAATTTCTCGTTTTTTATGGCTGAGTAGTACTCCATTTTATAAAAAAACCACATTTTCTTTATCCAGTCTCCAGTTGATGGGCATCTTCATCTTAAATTTATGACTCTAAAGCTCTTACACTTTGGTGGGGTTTTTTTCCTGAGATGGGAAAATGCTAGTTATAAGATCAAATAACCTTTTCCTTCAGGAAAGACATTTAGAAGGCACAGGATTACCACGCAGTGGAGAGACATATCCTTTGGCTAAGCCTCCAGAAATAAACACTTCTGCTCACTTCTTGATATCATTAAATGCACATGATGCCGGGGATTTAGCTCAGTGGTTTCGCCGCCTGCTGCACAAGCGCAAGGACCCAAGTTCGATCCCTGGTACCAAAAAAATGCACAAGAATCATAGAAAAATAAAGGGAGTTAACCTAATTCCAAGAGCAAAAATAGATCCTCGGTTTTAAATGATTAGTTAACACTCCAACTTTGTGAAAGTGACCCTGATGGTCCACAGCGCATGGTGCCTTCTCACGGGTGAGGGAGGACTTTCCCTATTAGTGCTGACTGGTCCCAATGATCAGGGGCAAATGCCTGTGGATTTTCAGCAATTCTGCAAAAATGGTCTAAAAGGCTCTCTCCTCTCTTCCCTAATACTTTTCTATAGTTTATGGGGAAAGTGAAACATAAGGATATAGTCATCAATTTGGGAAGTGTACCTTTAAAACTTTTTTTTTTTTTGGAAACAGGGTCTTGCTTTGTAGTTCATGCTGGCCCTGAACTCACCTGCAGCAATCTTCCTGCCTCAGCCTCCCAAGTGCTGGGATCACAGGTTTGAAACTGTGTTTTAATTTTTATTTTTGAGACAGGGTCTTGCTACATACACCAGGCTGGCCTTGAATTCACTATGTAGCTCAGGCTGGCCTCAAACTTGCAGAAATCCTCCTGTCTCAGCCAAAAAAAATTTTATTCAGGTAAGTCACAGAAACTAAAATTAATCTTTTGGTAGGAGGCTGAGGCAGGAGGCTTGCCATGAGTTTGAGGCCAGCCTGAGCTACATAGCAAAACCCTGTCTCAAAAAACCTGAATAAATAAAATAACCCTTTGGGGCTGGGGGTGTTTCTCAGCAATAGAGCTCTTGCCTTTCGTGTGTGAGGCCCAGGTTCACTCCTCAGCAACCCCAATGAATAAATAAATATGAGCAACTCAGTGGCATTTGATGCATTTACTGTTATGCAACCATCATCTCTAGTTTTACAATATTTTCATTACCAAAAGGTGGTGATATATATCTTGTATGTAAACTGCCAAGTATCTACCATGGCTCTATTGTGTTTGTGATTCAAAAAGAACTGGAAAATCCAGCATTACAGATTAATATAATTTACTATAGTTCTTTCCTTTTTTTTTTTGGTACCGGGGATCGAACTCGGGTCCTTGCGCTTGCGCAGCAGGCGGCGAAACCACTGAGCTAAATCCCCTGCCCCCTTTTGGTTATTTTTTTAAGACAGAGTCTTGGTATCTAGTCCAGAATGGCCTCAAACTTGCAGCAATCCTCCTGCCTCAGCCACTTGAGTGCTGGGATGGCAGGCAGGCTTTTTCTATTATTTAAGAGCTATCATTAACTTTGCTCATTATGTGCCTATTCTTTATGAATATTATAAAAGCCCCTTATCATTATGACTAATGACCAAAAAAGTAAATTTCCAAAACATCCCCAAAGGAGCAAAAATATTCCCTTGAGAACCAGTTCACAGTCAAAAAACCACTAATTAAATTTCCTTGGTAATTTCCACAATGGCCTTTAGGGGGTAGCATCATCCCCTTGAGAGCAAAGTAGACAATTCCTCTCCCAGCCTGGGCATCATTAACTCTCACTTCCCCAATAAATTTAGGGTTGCAGTAGCTAGTTCTGGGTTTCATTTTTTTTGGTTTTTTGAGGCAGGGTCTCACTATGCAGTTTAGGCTGGCCTTGAACTTACTATGTAGCCCAAGCTGGTCTTGACCGCACTTTAATCCCTCTGCCTCAGGCTCCCAAGGACTAGGATTACTGGGACTATAGGTGTGCGGCATCATACCTGGTAGTGAATATTCTTATTCATGCCCTTCAGTATGCATTTCCTTCTTTTTTTTCAATACTGGGGATTGAACCCAGGGCCTTCACCCTGACCTACATCCATAAGTCCTTTTTTTGTTTGTTTTGTTACAGCTTCTTTTTTTTTTTGGTACTGGGGATCGAACTTGGGACCTTGCGCTTGGGAGGCAGGCGCCGGAACCACTGAGCTAAATCCCCGGCCCTGTTTGTTTTGTTTTGAGACAGGATCATGACATATAGTTCGGGATGGCCTTGAACTCACTATCTAGCTGAGCATAGACCCTAATAAAGAGTTAAATGGTAAGCCAGAACAAATAACAACTAAAATGATAGGCTTGGAAAAATCTTTTTTTAAATCGGGGCTTGGTAGACAATACTTAAGAATGTTCTATTTAAACACTGAGGAATTGGGCCAGGGATTTAGCTCAGTGGTTTCACCGCCTGCCTGGAAAGCGAAGGACCCAGGTTCGATCCCCAGTACCAAAAAAAACCAAAACAAAACACTGAGGAACTGTTAAGAAACACTCCTGCCTGAGAATGACAAAAGAAACACTTGGAAACAGAACCTTATTTTTGTCCTGGGGCTTGAACCCAGAGAGTGCTGAGGTACATCTCCAGCCCTTTAAAAAATTTTTTATCTTTTTGACACGGGAATTATATACTAGGAAGTCACCTAGGATCTATCTGTTACTTGTGCCCCATAAGTTTTCGGTTCCTGGAATTTAAATGGTCTGTGCCTCATCAGAGCTTGAAATAAGCTATTTACTCACTCTCGGGTCCCATCCACTACAATCCTGAGTCTTTCCTGACCCCATCTCCTCTCTTCTTTAGCTCCCAGTCCCCTCCCTGCCAATTAGGGACTCATTATTAAACTCATGAAGCTAGGGACGTTTCCTATTGTCTATCACTGTGACTGGCACTGTAGAAAGAGCAAATACATTAAAGGAAGATCCCTGTGGTACACAGGTAGTTAGACATTAGCAGACCTGAGAGACAAAGGGAGAATCTAAAATAGCATGCTATGCCAGTTACAGTTAAGTAAAGAAACAAAGAACTCCATATATAATACACTACTAATCCTTTTCTAGCTCTCCGACCCGAAGACACAGGTTCTAGAACAAGGCACATACTATTCCTGGCTTCCAAAGCCTACAGCCCAACGATGTAAGGAAAGGAAATGGTCTTTAAAAATCCTCTTGCCTTGGGCTGGGATCTAGTTAAAATTAAGAAACACCTTTCATAAATTTCTCCCCTAAGGTTCTTTCTTTTTGGTAACAGGGATGAAACTCGGGACTTTGTGCTTTCAAGGCAGGCGGGGGAACCACTGAGCTAAATCCCGGGCCCTCCCCTAAGGTTCTTACATGAGTAAGGTCCCTGAGGACCATTTGAAAAGGCCAGGAAGACATTTTGCAATTCCAAAGGAACTTCTATGAAAAATGTCAATAAGCATCATAATTAACCTAATTCCCTGGACCTCAGGAGTACCTTTTGTGCACAGAAAGATACCCAAACTTGAACTTGGGCACATAGCTTCATGACATTACCCACCTTCTCACTAAATTTTATTTTTTTTTTGAGACAGGGTCTTGCTATGTCGTTTAGGCTAGCCTTGAACTCACTATGTAGCCCAGGCTGGCCTCAAACTCCCAGGGTTCCTCCTGCCTCCGTCTCTCAAGGGATAGGATTACAGGTGTGCACCACTATGCCCAACTCACTATAGTAAAATCTATCTGTACTTCCCCTGGCAGCCTAGGTGCTTTGATTGAATTCTTTCATCAAGGGCACAAAAGGACCAAGATTTTCGACTGCCAATTCCTTGTGGCGTCAGTACCTTGCTTCCGGGTGACAACTGGAGCCAAACAGGACTGAACAATTTTGCAGGAGGCAACACAATGCCAGCTTTGGTACCGGGGATCGAACTCGGGTCCTTGCGCTTGCAAGGCAGGCAGCGGAACCACTGAGCTAAATCCCCCATGCCAGCTTTGATTAAAAATCTTGTCTTGCTTCTCTGACCTGCAGCCAATTCACTCTTGTCTTTTTGTTGTTCTGTACTGAATATTGAACCCTGAGCTTTGCACTGAGCTATATCCCTGGCTTTTTAATTTTGATTTAGAGACAGGGTCTCACTAAATTGCTCAGCCTGGGCTGGATCTTGTGATCCTCCAGCGTCAACCTCCTGAGTACCGTGCGCCCTAGCTTTCACTCTAAATTTTCAGTCCTCACCTACAAAGGGGAATAATTGACGCTCCCCCTAGGACAGTACAAGCCTGATAAAACTACGTTTGCGTGCAGCTCTCTGGAACCCAAGACAAGGCTTCCCAGAGGAAAGTTTTGTACTACCAAGCCCCGCCCCTCTCTGGCCTGCATGACGTCACCCACCGAGGTATCTAGTGACGCCATCGCCGCGCGGCCCTACTCCAGCCCCTCTTCTCCGGAAACCTTCGACTCCTGGGACCGACCTCCGGCTTTCGGTTATTTTTTGTTCCCTCGCATTTTTCCACCTAAAAGCTTACACTCTTTCCGCCTTCCTTCAAGTTAGCAATTTTCGATTCTTCTCACTTCCTGCCCGGCGAGTTCCTCAAAGTCATTTGCTCTCAGTTAATTAATCGCCTTTCAGCCCCACCCGTTCAACTTATTCTTAGTCCTATTACCCCAGTTTGGTTTCTTTCGGCTATTTCCGCCTCCTACAGCCGTCCACCTTCGGTCCTTTACGGATTAAATTCCCCCTTCTTCGCCTCGGCTCTTTCCGGCGCCCCATTCTTTCTCTAGCCCTACTCCTATCGTCTTAGGCTGTTTTCTATTTTCTTTTGGCTTCACGTACCTCAGTGGCTCAGACCACCTTTGGCTTCTTCCCGCCCACCCTAGCCTTCTATTGCCTGCTCATCTGCTTTCGGCTTTTCCCGTCTTTCCTCGGTCTCGCCCTTTCCTTTCGGCTGTTTCCGCCGGTCTTCGGAGGAGCCGTCTCGGCTCCGCTCCTCCGCGTGACTCACTCGGCCCGGGCCTCCGCCTCTCAGTTCCTCCTCCCTCCTCGCCCTTCCTCCCGCCTCAGCCTCTGGGCTCGTCCCGGCAGTGCCGCCATTTTGTGTGAATTCCTGACTGCGGCGGGGGCCGGGCAGCCGGGGCATCTAGGGCGGGGAGACAAGACAGTCGGCCGGTCTCCGCTGCCCGTTTCCTCTCTTCCTGAAATCCTTTTTTTTTTTTTTTTAATCTCCCCCTCGCTCGCTCACCTCTTCTCCCCTCTCCCCTCGCTTGCTCCATCGCGCGGCCCGCGCTAATTACACCCAACCAACCCACCAGTGTCCGTATTCTCGGGTACCCCGCCCCGGGCCCGTGGGCGAGTGTGTGGGGGCGCTCGCTCCGATGAGGGCCCCGTGCCCGTGAGCGAGTGACCGGCCGCACGGCGGGCCGCGGAGAAAGCAGGTGGCCGGCGGCCCGCCGGGGCCTAGGCCGCGCGGCCTACGCGGAAGTCGGCGCCCAGGTGATTCCGAAACCGAAAAAATACAGACCCAGTTCCCACCAGGAGTCCTCAGAGCCGAAGTGTGCCCCTCCCGCCACGCCCAAGCAGTCCTTTTTCGTGCATTCACGTCCCCTCCCCCCAAGGATCCATGGAGGCCGCGCCCGGGACCCCCCCGCCGCCGCCATCAGAGTCGCCGCCATCGCCATCGCCATCGCCATCGCCGCCGCCGCCATCGCCTTCGCCTCCTCCGTGTTCCCCCGACGCCCGCCCAGGCTCCCCGCACCTCCTCCACCACCGCCTCCCGCTCCCTGACGACAGGTCAGGCCCCCGGCCGGGCCGGGGCAGCGCCCCCGGGGGGAGGAGGAGGAGGAGGAGGAAGGGCGAGCGCCATGTTGGGCCGGGCCGCGGAGGAGGAGGAGGAGGAGGAGGAGGAAGGGCGGGGTCGGTGGGTGTCTCTCGCTCCTCGCTCTTTCTCGCTTGCTTTCTCTCCCGGCCTCATGCGTTTCCCCCCCCTCGCGGCGTTCGCCCGCTCTCCCTCGCTCTCGCTCTGTCTTTTTTGGGCGCCATGCTGAGGGGAAGGTGAGGAGGCGCCCCCCGGACCCCCCGTGCCCGCCCTGGGGAGGGGGCGCCGGGGGGGCGCTGTGGAGGCCTGCGGGGTCCGCGTTGCCCCTGCGCCCGGAGCTGGCAGCCACCGGCCCGCCCGCCCGCCGCCTGGCTTCGGGGCGGGGTGGGGGAGGGGCTCCCGGACCCTTTTTTGGGGGGATCTCGAGCCTCAGCCCCGCTCTTAGGGGCATGGAGTTGGGGGGGGGTCTTCTACCCCCCGGCAGTATCCTTTCCTGGGGGAGGTGTGCCCTGCCCTTCTTGGATAGGGATCCGAGCTTTCTTAGGCAGAAAATGGGGGTTCACTCAGTCTTAATCTTTCTAATGGGGGGCCTTTGATGGCGGCTCCTTTGCACTTTTGTGGCGGGAGGTGTTTTCTACCTGCACCCCGGAAAACTGAACTGTGGGGTGCATCTAGACCTTTTGATGAAACCCCTCTTTTTTTTGGGAGAATCCCTTTCCCCACGCTTATCCTTAAAGGGAGAGATTCCTTTCTTTTTCGTAGGTAGGTGACCTGGGGGAGGGTCCTCGGCCGTATTTTTTAGGGGGTGTTTGGTTTTCTTAGCTTGGAGGGGAGAGGAAATTGCCTCTAGCTTTCTCCTGGGGGGTCGCCCCTCCCTTGAGGTAAAAGGGGGCACCATCCCTTCCCGGAGAGAAAAGGTTTCCTTGTGCTTTGGCAGGGGGGTGGAAAGGGGTGCCTCTTGCCCCTTTAATTCAGTGCGAAATGGGTCCCCACGCCCTGTTCTGACGCGTGATAATGGGGCCAGCCCCGCGCCTTTCAGAGTGAGCTTGGGGACCCTGTTTGCATTGCTAGAGCCGATGGCGTTGGGGTGCAGGGTTCGCTCACCCATTCCTGATAGGGTAGGGGAAGAGGCTGGAGAGAGGATTTGAGACAGGAAGGTGGGGTGCAGCCGTCAGGAAAGCGAGTCTTTGAGGGAGTGGGGGTGGGGAAGGAGAGCTCGCTGGACAGATGGCTGATGGGGCGCAGCCCAGTCGGGGTTCTCAGCCAGGGCTTCCCCCTCAAGCTCCTTGGCCCCTTCTCTCCCACTCCCACCTCTGCCTTTTCCCTTTCTCCTTCACAGACCATACTTTGCCTTTTAAAAGAAATGCCACCCACATTCAGAGACACAAGTGCAGCAGTTTGGTGAGCGTTTACAAAAATTTTTTGTTTTTCTTTGTTTTTCTTTTTTTTTTCTCCTCTCTTTTGTTTTAATTAAATGTATCGTCCTGGGACTCGCAGCCCTTCGCAGCCCGACTCCAGTTCAAGGAAATAAACAGATTAGCAAAGTCTGTTCGCTAAGCCCACGTTGGCCTTCCGGGGGCCCCTCTCTGGGGGCAGGTGCATTACTCAAAGGTGCTTACATGCTTTATTCGACCTCTAAGGAGTTCTCTTATGTCAGAAGTGTATGTCTTACAATGGGTTGGGATGGTAAGTAGCCTCTTTTATTGAGTAATTCAATTATCTCCCTCTTTTTGTCCCTTTTCCTGCCTGCCTTCCTCCTCGCCTTTAGACCAAAGTGATGCTTGAGAGAATGAATTTATATGTTCAAATCAGGTTTCTAACCCTGTTGAGCCCTTTTAGACTTGCACATCCTTTCATTGTTTAATTTTTAAAATTTGACGTACACAGTTTTCTCAAAAAAAAGTATTACTGTAACATGACAAATCTATGTAATAGGCCCATGTTTTCAGACTCTTGGCAACCCTCTGTCCATATCAATCCATTACTTTATCCAGCCTTCATCTTTGAGGAAAGTGGATACTTCAAGTCCACATATAGGAGACAAGTTTACTGAATTTGGTTTATGATGCTTGCATTCAAGTTAAAATTCTCCCCTCCTCCCCACCGAAAAGATTGTGGTTCAAGTAGATCCATTTTCCTCAATTTATTCCAATGTCTCTTATGGTGATGGACGTTTAAATTGAGCAAGTCATTTGTAAAGTACTGTTGAAGCACAAAATGTGTAAACTGTCTCAAGCCCCAATCTCTGCCTGTCTCCACTGCTCTTTGTTGGAAAGCACATGCCTGACCGTGAAAAGTTGATGCAAAATGTGTTACACGCCCAGTCATGTTGGAGAGAACACTTCCAGTCCCCTATCCTACACGTTCAAAGGAAAAGAACAGAAATGACTTGCCAAACCAAACACTACTTCTGATGTGTTTTACAAGCATAAGTTTTTAGGTTAAAAGACAAAACACGTTGAAGTTCCATTTTCCTTCTGGCCCACTTTGGTCCCTGACATACTTTGTTAGAGAAATCTTTCTAACACACTGCCCTAACCCTCTCCAAAAGTTTCTTTTTTTCTGTTGTTAGGAGAAACGTGTTCCCTCATGTTGAGATGAGACATGAACTACAATTCATTAGGCCACGTATTTTGTTAATATGTTCACAACTTAACTGTGGTGAGTGGTGGTCTTAAGTGTATAAAATCAGTTATGGGAGGAAGAAATCCCCAGAATGGATAGTATCCTGTGAAAAATGTCCAAAGCACAAACTGAACACACTATCCAGGCTGAAAAGGAATTGCACTTATTTGACGTTTCCCATCCTTGATTAAAATCCCTCTTCCAGGAGCTTAGAGCAGAAACTAGATATTAACTGATGACTCTTCCCAAGTTTATAGAATTACTGAATTGTTGAAGAATGCTTAAGTTTACTTTTTAAAATGCAATGTTAAGGAAATAGAGTATCATTTGTAAGTGAAAATTTTAACAATCAGCTGAATCTGAAAATATTACCCCAAACATTAAAGATGCTTTCAGGCACATCAACACTTTATTCATTTATTTATTTATTTTTCCTCAAAGAAATCTCATCCATCAAGTCTAAGAAGTCCCAGTAATTCAGTCAGACTGCATTTTGGTAAACTTTGTTTTTGAAATGTCACAGTACTACCTTTTTTTCTCCCCCAAACTGATGTACCAGTATTAGTTAAAAATGAAATTAATGGATGTTGCAAAAGAAAAAGAAAAGGGTATCTCTCAGAATGCCTGATTTAACAGCAAATCTGAAACACTTAAAACCTTTAAAATTTTTGTTCTCTCTGGGAGAGATTTTGAAAGCAAATCCAGATCTCCCATTAGAAACAAAACCTGTTGTGACCATGAAAATATGGATGTTATAGTCAAAATCCCTTTTTTATTTATTGTCTCAAATTTGCTCTTCTAGAGGAAAAACATGAGATTTCCCAAAAGGGCTTATAGCCCCAGTCTGTCCTGTCTTCCTGACCCCGAGTTAGAGTTTCAATTTGCTCTGAAGGTTTAAATTTTTGATTCTTGACAAGCCAGAATTTTAGGTAGAACTAGCTGTTTTAGAAAACCGCTGCTGTGGTTTTGTCTTATCCAGAAAGGCTGATCCCATGGGAAAAGTGTTTTGCACCTGTGGAAATGAAGGCCTCCTTAGCTGTTTACTGCTTGACATGTTGAGTTGAACATTTGGTTACTGCATTTCTGTATTTCCATACAGTCCAATGTCGAACAATCTCATATTGGGCCCAGTCAGTGATTCACCTTTTAATAATGTCTTCACCTCTGCTCTTTGCGCTTACATGTTTTACCTTTCCCAATGGAAGGAAATGGCTGTGTCAAGGTTGCCTTCAGCTGCTCACTTGTGTTTTATTTTTGTGGCTCTCAGCCCTTATAAACATCTCTTTATAGAGGCCAGATCTAGTTACAGTAAATACCTCTGGCGAAAATCGCTAATGAAACAGTTTCTGAGTCTCTGAGGATCGCTTTAAGTCAAACCATGTTCCAGAGAACCTAATTGTGGTCTCTGTGGACAGTATCTTCTAGTGCCAGAGCAACTGGCTCTGCCCCGATTTGGGTAGTTGAATGGTAGAACACATAGTGAAATAGCCAAGTTGACCAAGGTGCTTAACCTGTAGTGCGACAAGCAGCACAGCTAGTAGTACGACAGGAGAGAAAAAGGGAGGTTCTGTAGCTTTCTGGCAATTGGTGTTTATTAGGCTGATCTGAGAATCCTAGGAGCAGCCTGCTCATTGGTGGAGGGAATCCTGTTGGAATAAACGGTTTGAGGCCAGTTTCATAATTAGAACCTAGTACAGAGAAGCTGCCAGTTTTGGTGGCACTTAAAGTTCATTTTGATGAATAAAGGTAAAAAGGAGATTGAGGGGGAGCCAATCTTCATGGATTTGGTTTTCCAAATTTCTTGGTCTAGACTGTCCTGGCAGAGCTCTTTGCTTTTGTTATTGAGGTAGATGCAGTCTTGATGATATTGTGCTGCGTTTTTTTGTATTGGCTTAGTAATAATGTGAGGTGGGCAGTTTTTAGATTGTTGGTACTGGGGTCATTGTTAATCATTGGTGATAAAAATAAAGATGGGGCCTCTTGGTTGGTGGTAGATTTAGTTGTTTTCTATTATGAATATTTATTTTATAGCAGAACACAGGATAGTTGCTGGGAGCATAGTTTACTTTTACTTTGCCTGATCAAATTTCTCTGAATAAAGGATCTTCCTGGTTTTTAAATTTTTTACCATATTGCATCTGAGTGAATTGGTGACTCAGCTCCTTGTTTGTCAGGCAAGTGGTGACATCCTTTTGAAGGAGGTGGCAACAGGATGTCGAGGAAGACTGTGGGTTTTGGAGCCAGGTAAGAATGTCCAGGCCTGGCCCCACCCCAGCAGTGTGCAGTGGACCATGAACATAGTGCCTACCTCATGGAGTCATTGTGGCCAAATGGATACAAGGGCAGCACT